AAATTGCTGTGCGTACCGGGCGAACGAGTAGCATGCGTGCGGCATACATACAAATGTTCGCTTGCTACCAACGACTCCCAATTACGTAAGATTATGACATATGTGACACAATCGTTGCAGAGACGCGTGTGCGTAACACGCCCTCCTTCCGTGACACGCTCCGAGTATCGTCGCGATTGCTCGCCCTATGCAAGCGTATTCGTTCGTACATTCGTTTTCCTCTATCTGTCTATCTTTATCACTCCTTTCTACATTAAAAAGAATAAAAAAAAATGAGAGAGAGAGAGAAAAAAAGAACCATCGTTCTCTATTTTCCCGCGCGTTTCAAAGCGGCCTTTTTTTCTTTTTTTCGCAACTTTGCTGAGAGGGGAAAGAGAACGAGGGCTAGGGGGAGGGTAACGGGGCGAGGGGGGGGGAGGAACTTTTGTAGAGTAGGAGTTAGGAGCGCGTGCCGTTAGCAATTAACTTTGCGTTCCTTGTCACGAGCGAGTTCACGAGCGTTGCACCGTCACGATTTGTACACCCACCTGCGTGTCCGGGCTCATTCAGTGCATCCTCTCTCTTTCTTTCTCTCTTTTTTTCTTTATCTTTCTCTTTTTCTTTCCATTATGGTTTATTCCTTTCATACTTTGTGGTAAATCTTACGCTGAGAATCTCACGTGGGGGGAGGGTAAAATTAAAAACTCACCTTCTTTTTCTTTTTTTCTTTTTTTATCATCTCACCGATTATTAATTATTTCTATCGTTCTCGTATGTAATATAATATGAATATATATATTAATTAAAATTGATAAATCGATCATTTTTATTTATGAATCGAAAGTGTATATACATACACAAAGTCATCATTTTGAAATTTAGGTATTATTGTAAAGTAGATTTAAACCGATTACAAAAAAATAAAGTGATGTTACCTTAAATAGAAGTAAATATTCGAAATTTTTGTAGCTAACTTTCGAAATTCCCGTTCACACGGTTCCATTTCTTACGGATAATATTCTCTCTCTTTCTTTCTTTCTTTCTTTCTTTCTCGGTGGTTATTTATTGACTCGAAATTATGCGCGCATCTTCTTCTTCTTCTTCTTCTTCTCGTGTGTCCGTATGCGATCACACCGGTTGTGTTCGGATTATTTTGCAAGATATTCTCCAAGATGCTCTCTCTCTCTCTCTCTCTCTCTCTCTCTCTCTCACTCTCTTTCCTTCTCTTTCTCGGCTCGTCCGATCTTCATCGTGCGGTTGTAATTGGATTCGAGCTTAATACATTTATAATGCAAAGTTATTAACCTAACTAACGTACGATCGCCGCAATTACGCTACACGGCTGTGGGTTTTGCCGCCTTAACGAGCGAGCTTGAGAAATCGTATCTTGCCCTGAAACGAACTTTTGCCGACACCGAGAAAAAGGGTCGCTAGTATCTTCAACGGCAACAAAAGGGCCAACACGACGATGTTTGTTACATTACTTTTTGATTTCAAATCAATTCGTATTATTAAGAAATTATTTTGACGATAATTATTCGATGATCTTATTCTCATTTCATCGATAATAAAAAAGAAAAAAAGAAATTTAAAAAAACATGTTTTATTTGATAATAAGTTTATCATAATATGATGAAATTTTACTTACGATTCATTCAAAATTAATAAAATATATCATTGGTTGGATGTTGCAAGTGAAATAAAATATAATATAATAAAATAAAATAAAACAATAAATATTTTCAATAGCTGCTTAAATATTTTAAAGATTGAAGAAAACAAAAAGAAAAGAAAAAGAAAGAAAGAAACAGTGGAGAAGGAGGAGGAGGAGGTTAGCTCATTGGTAGGCCAGTAGCAAAGAATATGATTTCGTTTTCATATTCCAGGGTAGAAGAATACGAGAAGCATAGCAATGAGAACGTTGAAGCTTTTACGACCGGAAGCGAGGGGGGCACACGCGTATCCGGCCACAACCGAGAAGAGGAGAGTCTTCTTCGTCGAAGTTACCTAAAACCCCTTGCTCCCCTACCCCCCAACTTCCCCACCTCTTTTTGCACCGAAGAATTTTCGATGATCTCGAAAGGATCAATAAAGAAAAAAAAAAAAAAAGAATGAACAAATATTTAACCGAAAATTCTTCACAATATTAACATTCTCGCCAACTATTTTTCGTTTAAATTAAACTTCTGTTCTTTAATGTAATTTGTAGACGATACGATTGCATCGGATTCTTCATTAAAGAAAATGTAATTAACTTCTTAGCCCAAAGTCGAACTAAGGTTGAAAGATCAATTAAGATTTGCAAGAGTACAGTGATCTATCTATCTATCTATCTTTCTATCTATCTATACGACTGGTAGAATTAGTTCTTAACGAATTTAGAAGATTTATCATTTCGTATCTGACATTTGTAGTCGATCCATTTTCTCAGGTTCTAAAAGACAGATTTCTCGTTTTATTTAAATCCGTACTTTCGATGGATCGTTTTGTTTTTCTGTTACTACCATCTCGTTATGTAAGATGTTACAAGAGTAAATAGCCATGCTGTCGCAACTAGGCCTACCAATAGAAATGAAAACGTTTTGCTAGTAAACTTGTTAGATCGCGTGCCAGGACGAACGATGCAACTACGTTTTGTTCTTAGGGAGAGTTGCGTTTATTTCTATCCACTTTGTTAAACTCTCAAGATCTTACGAATCGATCTTAGTTAGAAGTCAACTTGGAAGTCAGCAGTATGTTGTAATCTTCTTCGAAACGAGGACCAACCGATGCCTTTCCTTTTATTTTTTTTCTCTTGAAACCAAAAAAATAGTAAGAATAGAATGGAACAGAAACACGTCCGGTTTAAAAAGAGAGAAAAAAAAAAAGAAATGCAAATCGATTTAGGTAGCCACCCTTAGGTAGCCACATGGGTTATTTTATCTTTCCTTTTCACATCGCGTTCTGTTCTTTTAACTTCTTTTTTTTTTTTATTTTGTTTAGAAATGAATTATTACGAATCAGGTAGTCGACTAAAGAAGGTTACTCTCCTGGAACAACAGCTCGAATTTTTAGACAGTTCTCTCGCAGTCCACCTGTTCTCGACAGATCATCTCGAAAACGAGATTATTTTGCAGATAAGAACGTCCCTTTTTGTTATTCGTCTTCCTTGTTACTCTTTACAACTAAAACTCCTTCTATTTTTCTTCTTCTTCTTCTTATACTTATTCTTATTCTTCGTCTTTATCTTCTTCATTTTCAATCTTTTAAACAGAACGCGTTCGTTCCTTAAACGTCGTAGAACCTTTTCCGTTTTCGTCACACGTATAATACCAGAAGTCCTTCTTAAAACGTGAATCCTTTAAAAAAAAAGAGAAAAACAAAAAGTATTTACTTCTCTTATACCCTGCGATCATTGAAAGTCATCTCGCGGGATGTTCGAAAAGTCAACTGGCTACCGTGCACGCATAATATCTACATACGTATAGTAGAATGAAGCTTTCGAAATGGTGGTGCTTGAGAAAATTTCTGTAACAAAAACGGGCGGAAACAAAAATGTTAAAAAGCAAAAAACAGAGAGAGAGAGAGAGAGAGAGTGAGAGAGATAGATAGAGAGAGAGAGAGAATAAGAAGAAACGGAAAGAAAAATTTCAAGAGAATGAGAAAAGAGAATCTACTCGAACTCGTAGATCGTCTTCGTGGTCGTGGTCCGTGGTCGTGGTTGAGAAGTCGGTAAGCAAAACGTGAAACGTGAATCACTTTGTTACGGCTGACGTTGAGTCTAAAGTCGATTCAAGACTGGGAGAACGAATCCTGCTGATAGATTTCTCATTCTCTCTCTTTCTCTCTCTCTCTCTCTCTCTCTCTCGAGTAAGAGAGAGAACTGAAATATACGTCTCTCGTAATGCGTGCTCTGCACGCAATGCGAAAGTGTCATGAATTTTAGCAACGGTGTGTAACTACGCGTGCAAAACGATCAGGTATAATACACACACACACATATATATAGAAGAAGGAGGAGGTTTAAAGACTCGAGGACACCCGTGAAGTTAGGTGGTCTCTCTTTCTTGACACAAAGAAACGTCGTGTTGTCTATCTTTCTTCTTTTACTTTTATACTTTTTATTTTTGTCTTTCTTCTTATTCTATTTCTTCTTCTTCTTCTTCTTCTTCTTCTTCTTGGTAAGAGGGTAAAACCAGTGGCTAAGTTAAAGAGAAGACGCATCCGTTTCTTCTTATTCTTCTTTTTATTTTTCTTGGTCTTCTTCTTCTTCTTCTTCTTCTTCTTGGTCTTCTTTTACCTTCATTCTCCCTTCCAGTATTCAACGGAAATATTAAAATGCCTCGACGAGCTCCGCACATGACAATAAGTTCTTCGCGCTCCGGACGTGCTCTGGATACTGGGAGTTCGCTCTTAAACTACCATTCGCGTATATATATATATGTGTGTGTGTGTATATGTATTGTATATGTATATATGTTCTCTACAAGTTGTTTCTCTGTCTTTCCTTTCATTTTCTCTTTCTCTTCTTCTCCTGTTCTACCATATTTCGTTGGGGTGTCCGAACGAAGATTGAAATGCACACGGTGCACATCCTGTTCGGGAAAATTCAAATGAACCTTTATCCGTCCTGGCGTCTCTCGGTCGGCATACAGCCCTCTATATCTCTTTCTCTTTCATTCTCATTTTTCTTTTCTTTTCTTTTTTCTTCTTTTTACTCGAGATTTGGAAATCTCACGCGTGTCAGTTAAAGAATCATCAATTTATTACGAGTTTTCACGATAATCGATAAATGTGTGGACTCTCGGTAATTAAAACATTGGACTATTTTATATGTAAGTTAACAATATTATATTTATTATGATTTACTTTTGAATGGAATTATTATGTATGAAATAATTATCCAGATGACAATGGATTAAGTTAATAAGTTATATGCAAATCAATATATTTTTCATTTAGAATTTCAATTAGGATAATTATCTGTACAAATAAGAAATTCATTTATATATTTTTTTCAATTTGTATTATTAATTATTACATACACTCATATTTTTATACATTTCAATGAGATTACAGAGATAATCGTACGATTGTTAATAAGCGTGTAGATTTATTTTTATACTTTGAGTATTTTAATTGAATTCCTAAGGCGCCATTAGGAATACAGCTCAAAGTTTGACTTCATTGTTTTTTTTATATCAACGGTTCATTGATTTATTTCCTTGATAGTAATCGTTAAACTTAAGTATTCATTTTATGAATTATTTGGAAGAAATAATACGGAGTCGTAGATAGTTTTTGACAAGGGGTTAGTTATAGTTTTGGAATTCTACGAGGATAATATTCAAAAGTTTATTTATTATACGAGTTGAAATATTTGAGATAAGAATCATTATTATTATTATTATTATTATTATTATTATTATTATTATTATTATTTACCGTGATTGATTCGTTAATATTATTAAAGATCTGTCGAGGATCTTTAATAATTTTTCGAAAATAAAACCAAGAACTCCGCCATATTGTTTGATCGTTATTCTCGTTATTAACTTTTACATTATTTTGAAAATCCTTTTGTAAATTTTCGGTCTTCCTTGGTACGTTATTAAATTCGATGCATTTTAATAAATTCAACGAAATTTGCGACGGTAAACGTTTAGTAGCAGTTGAATTGATTTGCCTGAAGAAAAAACAAACAATTCACTTTCTTATCACATATCGTAATATGAAAAAAAGATAAAATATTAAGAAAAGATATACTTACCAATTTTGTTGTACGTGCTGCCTCAAATTAATGGCAGCGAGAATACATAATGCGTACATTTGTTTCTGTATAAAACAATTTATCATTATTCAATCCTCAAATTATTATTAATTTCCAAATAAATGATCCAAAAATATAATTGAACGACAAAAATTTGGACGATCCAATTATTTGTATGTTTAATTTATTGACAGTCGCATTAAATGAATTTGTTTATCGTGAAATTAGATATTATTCGTACGTTTTACTTTTATTTTTTTTTTTTTTCAATCAAAATTTCATAGTATGTGTAAAACAAAAACAAAACAAAAAAAGAAAAGAAGTTGAGAAAAGTCGTCTAATCGAGTAGGATAACGAGCAGTACATACATATATATATATTGTATATTTATAATAAAATTAATGATATTACGATGAGATAAAGGGGGGGAGGATGGATATCACGAAGAAAATATTTGAAGCACTCGCGTAGATCGCGGTCGTATTATCCGCGGAAATTGGTTCTAGCGAATGCGAGGTCATGAAAGATCTGCGCAGGCGCTAGAGGATCGCGTGCGAGACAGACAACTCATCCACACTCACGTATTAAACATAAGTGCTACTTACCTATGCCCGATCCTCCGAACCCGCGAGCATCTTTCTTCCCTTTTCTTCTTCTTCTTCTTCTTATTCTTCTTATTCTTATTCCTCCCTATCCCTCTCTTCTTTCTCTTTCTTTCTCTTACATCTTCATCATTTTTCTCTCTCAAGTCTCCTTATTACAAATCCCTTTACATACATACATACATACATAGATTACATACGTAGGTGTAGTATATATATTTTCATGGTGCCCTTTCTCCATTGGTTTTCTTTCTCTCGATCCACATATGTACTTCTCTTCTTCTCGAGAAGTTTCATGAGAAACGAGGATCCGTTCTTAGGAACGCCCTTACTTTCGTAGAATTTAACTCACCTTCCGTGAATTACTCACGCGATATATAACTTCGTATGGGATTTAACGATTTTTTCATTTTAAATACATTAATACGGGCTTGCTTTCTTTTTTTTTCTTTTTATTCATTTTCTTTTAATATGCGCGAATTTATATTGAATTACACGCGTGTACCGATTAGAATTTTCTTTTCTTTTTTTGATCGATTTAATTGTATTGGGTAAGTTTGAGAACTAAATAAATTATTTGAGTATTAAAATTGACTCGTATTTAAATTCACATTTGTAGAGAAGAGATCTTGATAAGATTCTATGGAAGAGATAACGAAGTTAACATTATTAAGTAATAAATTATTAAATAATAAAATATTATAAAAGAAAGAGACTATTTTTCTGGACATATTGTTGCCCATTAAAGGATTAAAAGTAATTCGTAAGTATATTAGATTTGAAATGATTACATCAATTTATACTTAATCGTTTGCAAATTTAGAATACCTTGATTTTCTTCTAAAAATCGAATGAAAAATAATATAATGAATTTAACATTAAAGAAAATTAGAAGATGTACTTTGGATGTTTCTCGTTCGGTCTGTTGATCTCCCTCTTCGGTAAAGGACGATTCGTGTCAAGGGTGAGGTCAGCACAACGAGTAGGATGTTCCACGAGTAGTGGTTCATTTTCACCCGGGGATAACCTTCGGCACACGATCAGCCGCCATTAAGGGGGAGAGTCTATAAAAATCATGTAAGTATCGCGGAATATTCCTTCAACCTGGTGTGTGTGTGTGTGTGTGTGTAAGAGGAAAAAAAAACAACAAAACAAAAAAAGAAGGTATTGGTTTCTATATAATGTACGAAAAATGAAGATAAAAAGAATATACAAATTGTTAGATCTTCCAACGATTTGTTTTTCTTCTTTTTTTTGTAGAAAAATTCTAGAAGATTAATAAAAAAAGAATAAGTATAATTATAATTGCATTGTGTTGAAACTTTACTATTGAAACTGCATTGTAAAATTTACTTTAGAAATATTAATGATAAAACAAACTCACACAAACTTTTGGTTCAATAAGAATAAATATAATATTCAGGGTGAACCGAAAGAAGTTCGTACGTTTATTGT